GACAAAATGGAGGATACAATTTCCTTCACCTTTTCCCTTTCAGACCAAGTACTTTAAGCATTCCCACTAACAAATATGTAACAGTTCTTCCCACAAGAGATAATATCAAGGAAAGCCAAGCCACTGGCCTGACCTAGTGTCACAGCAAACAGCATTTGTCAAATAATTTTAAATAGCTACCAGTCATCAGCTAAGTAGAAATGCTGTTAAAAAAAAAAAATCAGCTAAGTAGAAAAGAGTTAGATAGCAACACAGACCAAGGAGTCCGAGAGAGAAAGTTAAAAGTTTTTCAGAAAAGTTTAGTTGCCAGTTCAAGAGGAAAATGGAAACATAATCGGAAAACCTACCACAAATCTAGCCACCGCTGTGAGATTGTGAACAGCTACACTTTTCGGAATGATCTCAGCAAGAAGCAAAATAGCAACCTAGGATCATTTGGAAATATTCAATGATTATAATTTCTTTCTTTTGTGTTTTTTTTTTTTTTCTTTCTTTATTTAATAAAGGTACTATGCCTTTGAACAGATTCAAGATTATTTGCTGTTGCTCTGTAAGATAGCTTCAGATTAATAATTTTATAAGTGAGTTGAAGAAAAAACAAAGAGAAAAAGAAAATAAAACATCAGTAAAAATGGAAAATACCCCTTGAAGAAAATAAGCTTAGCACATCATGTACCACATACAAGACCATGTTTTGATTTTCCTGTAAAAAATCAACTCCTCTACCAATAATATAAAAAGTGAAAGATATGCAAATTAATCTGCTATTATGGTAGTACCATATCAAGAATGACTAGTGCCCAGAGGTTTGGATACCTGACACAAATTAGCATCAAATCACCAATGAGATCAAAATTTCTTGATGGCTTGGTTAAAAATATTTTCTTGTTCTTCCATAAGTTAATTGAACCACATGACTATATTAGAAACCAGAATCATCCTACGAACAACACAAGACAACAATAATGCTGCTGCAGGAACAACACAGTCAAGATTTGAAATAGCAGATCAGATTAATCTTTGCTAAACTTAACCCAATATTTCAGTCAGCAAGTGCCATTACCCAACAACCACAAACTTCATATATTTATCTTAACCATAAAAGCTACTTAAAGTTAACAAATAACAATCGATAATTGTGAATGTTCTTTAACTTCATATATTTATCTTTTCCAACCTTTTGATATTTCCATACAAAAATTCAGATTTCAATTGCTATTCACTAATTGCAAGAACCA